GGCATAATGAAACAAGTGCATTGTCCTCAGGCAGGGAGAGATCAGAACTGACTGTAGGCTCTGATCTTCCCGTCCTTCGGCCTTGATGTTACACCCTGACGTCTTGTTTGTGTCCCTGCCCACAGTGCTGTTCCCTCGCCACACCAATGCCAGTGCTCGAGACAACACCATCAACCTGATCCACACTTTCCGGGACTATCTGCACTACCACATCAAGTGCTCTAAGGTGAGAAGGGGCCACGGCAGCTCAGCTCCAATGCTCCAGGTCATTCTCTCACCAGAGTTAATAACATAAAAAGTCATTTCTGTGTGGGCTGCACCTGGCTGGCTCAGTCGGTAGAGCATTGATCTTGATCTTGAGGTTGTGAGTTCGAGCACCACCACTGGGGGTAGAGTTTACTTTAAAAAAAAAAAAAGTCATTCCTGTAGTCCAGGCTGTTGCTATGAACTCTAATGGTTTTAGAGACTTTAAGATATCATGGCCTTTCTTCCATCTCTTCCCACTACCCTTCCCCATAGTAGAGAGATGCAGATGTGTCTCCAGAAAGTTGCCCTCCTGCTTGCCTGCATATGGCCCTGTGTCAGTCCCAGGGCATATGTTCCCAGACCTTCCTGATAACTTCTACTGAAAGCAAAGCTGTCTTTCTAGAACATGACTGCTTCAGTACCCATTGTGTTTGCTCCCAGGCCTATATTCACACACGTATGCGGGCAAAAACATCTGACTTCCTCAAGGTGCTGAACCGTGCACGTCCAGATGCCGAGAAAAAAGAAATGAAAACAATCACGTGAGTAGGGCGGTCTCACAAGCAGGACCACCTTCCTTTCCTGATTTCACCAAGAGGGAAATAGTGGATGTTGTGACCTGGCCCTCCAGGTGTCTGGGCAGCAGCTACATGTGAGAGGCAGGCAGGGTCAGGCCTGTAGCCACCTGACTGACTAAAGACGGGATGGACAGGTTTTCACTCCTGAGTGGGCCGGGCTGGATTCCCTTGTTTCCACATCTTTGTGAGCTAGGGGAATGTCATCTAGGGAAAACACAACGGGACCTTTTTTACTGAGATACACTGTGTTCTCTTTGGGCCTGAGTTAGGTCAATCCTCGAGGTCTTCCTGGAGAAAGGGAGAGATTTGCTTACGGACATTTAGTTGAGTGAACAGGCCTGGAGCCACCCCCTAAGTGTTTTTATCCCCTGGTCTGCTTCTCAGCAGGAGTTTTGCATGGAGATGATGTTGTCTTTCTCAGCGATGGAAATGTCGAACTAGGGGCGGGGGCGGGGCTCCAATATGTGGCTCCATGCAGGAGAGGACAGCATGGTCTAGAGCCTAGGTAGGGATTTAGGTCTTTAGGCAAAGTGTCAGGGTTTTTTGTTTCCCCTTCTGTGAAGTTTAGGTGATCCCGCCTCAAGATAAGGAATAAGTGCTTATCTGCCAGCTTTTGTGCCCATTGAACTCAAGTCTTGAGGCGAACTAAGCTTCTGTACATCCCTCACAGCCAGGGTATTTGCCAACACCTACTGCTCTCGGGGGTGACCTTCGGCAGGTATGGTGTGCACAGGGCTCCAGGTTCCCTCCCCTGGCATGTGAGGCCTCTCCTGCCAAGCTAGTTTCTGCTGCCACCCAACAGGATGAGAGAGGTGCCTGACTCCTCGTACCGGAGCCGAGGGTTTTCGATCTCAGAAACCTCAGATGGTTATAAAAGCAGTTTAAGTCACTCCTGACTTCTTAGGTGAAGGCTTTAGAGGCTGTCCATCTCATGAAATTGGTACCAAAGGCTTCTCTCAGTAGTAACTCTGTACCTCCTGCCCAGAGCTTGAGGGGTGGGGTTCAGTCTGTAGTTAGATCCTCTGCTTCCAGCGGGGTTTCCAGGTATCATGGTGACAAAATGGCAGCATCACACCTTCTGCTCTGCAGCTTTGTGGCAAGGCCTAAAGTGGGCAAAACTAACACAGGGTGGGGAGGACGTATGTCCTGGGACACACATGCTCTTTCCATGTCTTCTAAAACCTGGCCTCCCCCCTGGGGTTTACAAGTTCCCCTGCCCCTCTTGCTTTCCACAGGACTGCTCTTCTCACAGGGGCACCGCTGTGGTGACCCAGAGCGGGAGGCAACCAGTGCCGTGCCATTTTCAGGGCCAGTGGAGAGACTGGCTGGGAGGTGAACAGGCAGCCAGGCACAGCAGAAGGAAGCCTGACCTGGCCAGCCCATCCTACACGAGATAGGAAGGCTGGCTTCGTAAATAGTCTGTCATGGGGCTGCCTGTGTCCGCTTCAGCCCTGGAACTTCTTCTCTGTTCAGAAGAGCCCAGCAAGGCAGCCACCGCCCAGGGTCTCCCCACAGGGCTTCTCCCCTGCCCTGTTACCCCACCAGCAGGTGGTCCTGGGGTGCAGCAACATGATTGCAGTCGTAGCTGGGGAAGGACAGATCCTTGAAACCAACAAATTGTCCATAAACCTCCTTCCTGGGAGTTAAAAGAGCAGCTTTGCCTTTTTCTGTCCTGTGACCTCTCTTTAGCAGAGATGGGCGCCAGAAAGGAGGAGGGGGAGGCAAACAACCAATCCAAGCTGAAAACCAGATCATGTTACTAAGGATGAGTAGAAGCCAGGACACACACACACACAGCGCAGACAGCAGAAACGGAGGGGCTGCGTGCAATAGGATGGCAGGCTTGGCTTGGTACTCGAACACTCACCAGCTTTGCATGGGGGGGGGTTGAAAAAATATGGTTTCAGTTTGGGGTGGCTGAGACATTCAGGACAGGAAAATTTAGCCCCCCTGTCTTTGCCCCAATTTCCCATAGTTCTCAGCCCTGGCTTCCAGGCTGCTGTACCAAATGAGCTCTGTCTTTGGGAACCAGCCTGTTCCCAGAGCTGGCCCTTCTGGAGAAATCCTGGGTGGGACAGAAGCCAGGACTCGGGAGCCTAAAGTCAAGCGAGTGTTCTGTAACCCGGAGTGTGGTCACTGCATGGCAACACAAAGTTCTTGTACTTGGAAGTTTTGAGCATCCTGCTCCCATGGTGACAAATGGCAGGAACTGCAGTGTTCGAGGCTGAAAAGGTACAAACTGTGTAAGGGGAGCCTGAGCTCTCAACCCCGAGGAGGGTCGAGCCCAGTCTGAAATTTGAGTAGGTCTAGGCCATCCAGACGTTGTGGGCAAGGGATTCTCCTGTCTAACTTGGTACATCAACCGTCCTTGTGGGTGTGGCACAGGTGCTCCCTGGTATCCCCGAAGTAAGTATTCAGCAGGAAGAAAGAGGTGATCACCTCTCTCTGGGAACTGGGCCTTATTCCAGGCCTAGAGTTCCTGCATCTTCCTGAGGAACCTCGCACCTGTGTCTGGTGTCTCTGGGATCCCATCCCCAGTCCGGGGGGCGGGGGCAGGACAGGGGAGCCAGAAACCGGCCTTCACACTTCTCTCTGCTCTTTGAAGGGGGAAGACGTTTTCATCCCGCTAACTCTGGGGAACAGGAAGAGGAGGCGGCTGGCAGCTGAAGGCTGGAACGCTTGCTACTGGATAATCGTAGCTTTTCATGTTGCACCTCTTCAGGTTCTTAAGGGATTCTCCGTTTTGGTTCCATTTTGTACACGTTTGGAAAATAATCTGCAGAAACGAGCTGTGCTTGCAAGGACTTCATAGTTCTCAAGAATTAAAAAAAAAGAAAAAAAAGAATTCCACTTGATCAACTTAATTCCTTTTCTTTACCTTCCCTCCCTCACGCCCTTGCCTTCCTCCCTCTTTTCCAAGCTGTTGCGCTTTGCAATATGTTACTGGTAATGAGTTGCAGGATAATGCAATCTTAACTTGTTTTCTCCTAAGTATTTGAGTTCAAAACTCCTGTATCTAAAGAAATACGGTTGGGGTCATTAATAAAGAAAATCTTTCTATCTTACGTGAGAATTTGCTGGGTTTCTAGACTGAGTCCAAAAGGACGGGGGAAGGACGAAGGGTACACATGGTGCTGCCCTTGAACCTACAGACCCAAATCTGGGAAGCTGTAGATCAGGAATCCCTCAACAACCCCCACCTCCACCCCTTTGAGGAGAGAGAGGTTGGCTGGCTAGTGAGCTCTTAGTTGGCAGTTCTGAATAAACGTGAACGTGCTTCCTGTAAAGCTTACTTATTACTATGTCTGTCTGTGACCAAGAAGCTTCCAGGACCGTGACAGTCACATGAAGTGTTTTCTGGCTTATTCTTTCATCATGAATAATGCACAGCACTTCCCAAAATGCATTTTGTGGCATGTGTTCTGCAGGACAGTGATGGGTGTTAGGGTGTGGACCTGGCCACCCTTTCTCTTCTGCAATAGCCCAAAAGATCGGCCTTCCACAGAATTCCCTTCGGGGAGATGCTCCCCTAACAGTACCGAGCCTAGCAATGTATACTGTCCCCCAGCTAGTAGGACACTGATCCCAAAAATAAAATCGTTCAGAAAATTTGGTAAAGAATTATCAGGAGAGTTTTATGAGCACCTGAAATGGTCTGAGGGCCATCCTGACGGTTTTTAGCTTCTTGCTTTCCCTTTTAACTTGTCTCCATCTAGTGCAGTGGGTCTCAGACTAGTTTGAGACCCATTCATGAATTGTGAACTGTCCTGACATTTTTGTTTCCTAAACTGTTGTTAGATCACTGTAGGTTCATACGCAGTTGTAAGAAATACCAGAAATTCTGTGTGTCCTTCACCCAGCTCCCCCCAGTGGTAGCATCTCGAATGATGGTAGTGCAGTATCTCGGCCAGGACCATGTCGTGGACACAGTCCGGCCTGACTCGTGGGTGTATGCTTGTGTGCGTTTGGGGGGGGAGGGGGTGTGTATTTCTGTGTGTCTGTCACGTGTGTAACTTCATCACTGGCCTTTTTTTTTTTTTTAAGATTTTATTTGAGAGAGCGAGCGAGCACAAGTGGGGGGAGGGGGAGAAGCAGACTCCCCTCTGAGCAGGGACCCTGATGTGGACTCAATCCCAGGACCGTGAGATCATGACCTGAGCTAAAGGCAAATGCTTAACTGACTGAGCCACCCAGGCGCCCCAGCTTTTTCTTTTTTTTTTAAATGGGATAGTATAGATCAGAGTACATCACATTTCTCAAGGGTAGGTATTGATTTTGGAGTGTATTTTGGTTATGTACACACATCTTGATTAGATTATAAAACACCTTTTTTTACTGTGGGTCACCGTCAAGAAATCTGAAAGCTATAGGTCATTCAGTCACCTGGACTCCACGGAAATGGGCTCTTAGTTCGGGGCTCAGGGCCCATCCCAACAAACCTGTGCACTGGGGAGGGGTGGCCCCTTGTCACCCACTTCCGGTGGGTGGCAGACCTGGAAAAGGAAGTACCCGCTGCTGCGTCAGCCCTGTCCTGGGCAGCCCATACTTAGCAGTTGCCGTTTCCATTCCCTTTGGTCTCATTGGAAGTGAAAAACCTTGTCCCAGCAGCTCCTGAGGCCAAAGACCCAAGCCTGCGTCTGCTCTGGGGTCTCTTGAGTTCAAGCAATGCTACACCCTTCCAGGGATTGCTGAAACACTGCAGTGGCCCGGAGGGGGCCGTGGAGAGTCTGAACCCTAACAGGAAGGAACAGGGTTTCTTCTGCCCAGAGACCTGGCTCAGGGCTTCCTGAGGCCAAAGTCCTGGCCAGGATTGTACCCGGGGCCCTCCAGAGGCTCCCAAGGGCTTGTCTGCGCTTGCCTGAGGGGAGTGAAGAGTGTTGACAGCGGCTCCTGGAGGCCAGCCAGGGTCCAGAAAGCCCCGGGGCTTCCTTGCCTCCACTTGTCCAGTTAGCAAGTGCCCCAGCCCCTGCTTACCGCACCCACCCGACCCCGGGCCCCCAAGGTCAGCAAAGAGCTGCCAGTATCCAGAGAACGGAGTGGACGAAGGAGGCCTAGGAGGATTCCCCGGCGGGGTTGGGCCCTGCCGTAGAGGCTGTGCCTGAGGAGGGGACCCCGGAAACCGGCCTGCAGCTGGGATGGAGGGTCTGGAAACTGCCTGCACCAGAGCCCTCCTGTGGGCCAAGGGTCTAGAAGGCCAGGGATGAGCCGGTGCCAGAGCTGGAGGAGAGAAGGCCCAGATGGTCCAGTGAGGAGGAGACAGGACCCAGGCTTCCCAGCCCCTGCCGCCTAAGCTGCCCCCTTCGGACGTCATCCCACACACATTGTTTAGACAAAGCAGTGAAGAAGAAACACAGACATCCTGGATCCCGAGGAGGCCAGGGCTGGGAACAGAAGGAGGTCTGTTTATTCCTGGCAGCCCAACATCTGACGGGCCCCACAGCCACTTGTGTCCAGGCCCCAGTCTGAACTCTCCCAGAGCCTCTGACTTCTGCCCGACCAGAGAGCGTGGGTCTGAGGGCCGGCTGCTGGAAGCCCGCGTCCTCTAGCCACCAGCTCGCTTGAGGAGGGTTTTGAGGCTGGATGCTTTCCTCTTCCCACTTTTTGTCCCAACAGAAGTCCTGCCTCCCCGGGCCCCCTGACCCCTTGCAGGATGGGCAGAGCTAGACCCCTCGGGTCGCCAGCCTTCAGCGCGGGTCTCCCTGCCCTTCCCCGCTGAGGGCGCAGAGGTCCCCTCGCTCCGTCTACCTGTGCTCTTGAGCAGGGAAGTCTTTCCTCCTGTCTCATCTCTGGCATTCTTGCTGCAGTTTGCTGCTCCCTCCCACTTCAGCCTGCTGCTTTCCAGCACCCCAAAGCCTCGCTTGATACCAGTGAAAACGGGAGCATCACACCTCTTGGCTCCCCAGCCTTGCACTCGCCCTTCCTCTCCTGTACCTGCCCTCCTTGCTGTCTGTGGAGCAGAAGTGCCATCCCCTCTAGCTTTTCATGAGCTATCTGCCTTTCTCTACAGTTTTCTTAGCGGGGACAGGTGGCTGGAGGGAAGCAACATGCAGAGGGCAGAAATCCTAAAAATGTTAACAGCTGCCTTTCACTGAGTGCCTGTGTGCCTAGTGCTCGTCCAAGTCTTCACGCATTGGCTCGGTTAGTCTCGCCCTAGGGGAGCGCAATAGAAGCCCCATTCTGCAGATGAGGAAACGGAGGCAAAGGAATTTCAGTAATTTGCCCAAGTTGACACAGCTAAACAACAAAAAAAAAGGATCCCAGCCAAGATTCTAAGATTCAAACCCAGGCTTTCTGGGCTCACGCCTCTTATTCATCATGGAGGCCTCCCATTAAGTGTCAGACACTGGGATATACGCAGTCACATATGTTACTCCATGATATTCCCCCAACAGCCCCGAGAGGTAGTTTTACTTGTTCCCCTTTTACAGGGGGGAAAATTGAGGCCCAGAGGTTAGCTTGCCCCATGCCACACCCCCAGAGCCATTTTTACCTCACTGCCCAGAACTTGACTCAAGGCAGTTGAGAAAAGTGCGGAATGACCCCCAAGTTCTAGAAGGTAAGTTTGGCTTTTAAGCCAAAAGGCCCATCAGGTAATAGGATGGGAGGATCCTCAAGCTCCAAACACCCCCAGCCCTGGCACCATCAGACACTGCTCTTCAGAATTATGGAGCTGGGGGTGCTGTCAGCCAGCTGGCCACTCCAGGGGTTTAAGACTCATCAAATGTAAATGTATTCGCTGGGACAGGAAGTGGAGAGGGGGAGCCGGAACCCTGATTATTCATTGAGTGGACAGCATTTCTCCCATTAGCTAGGCAGGCAGCAGGTGACAGGGCTCCAAGTTGGGTGACCTGAGGTAGGGGATCTGCCACCTTGGTGGCAAGCTATAGCTGGTGGCCGGAGAGGGGGCACATGGGTACAGCACAGGGCGAGGGTACTGGACCAAGATGGGAAGGCCTCCCAGCCCCTGCGGCCCAGCGTGTGCCAGGCCCCACCCCCCCAGAGGCGGGGCCAGGCTGAGCCCCACCCGCCCCAGCTCCATCCCTCCAGAACCCAGGGCAGGGGCAGAGCCTGGGCAGCAGAGAGCCCCAGGGCCCTGCGGTCCCTGCGGAGTGGAAGCACCATGTCCTCACCGGCCGGGACACCAGACAGCGCCAGAAGCCCTGCAGGCCTGCCTACGGCAACACCCTGACACTGAGGGGAAAGCCCAGGCTGGGCCAGGAACACCTGCCCCCAACAGCCATGTGAGTAGCTACGCCCTCCTCCCTCTTCCCCCACCGCCAACCACCCCGCACCCGACCTCACCGGGAGACCTCAGCCCCGGGTCCTGAAGAGGCCCCGCAGCCAGCCCAAGCCACCCGAGCCTCCAGGGCGTGCAGGTCACGGGGCCAGCCCAGCCCTGGGAAAGCGGCCCTGGGGCCAGCCCTGCCTTTCAGGCTGCCCCGGGGGAGGTGGGGTGGGGACTCACTCCAGGGCAGTGCTGGGAGCTCCAGCCCTGGACTCCAGAGTCCAGGTTTGAGGTCACGGACCCTGAGGTCTCATGGGCTTTAATAAAGGTGGCGCAGGCACTAAGGGAACAGAAACTGAAGGGCCTGATAGAGAGGGAAGGATGTCCTGGGTAGAGGGCTCCGGGCTCGGGGTGAGGGAGGATGAGGAAGAGGAAATGGGCTGAGGGGAGGGGAGAGGGGCAGCAGCCTGGTGTGGCTTGGCCGGCTTTGGGGGGGCGCTGGGTGGGCAGCTGGGAAGAGAAGGGTCCTGAGCTCGGGGTGGCGGTGGTGCCCTCGGATCCAGGGGGGTGGGGGCGGGTGGGAATCCTTTCCTGGGGCCAGGGTGCCGGAGGGGGCTGAGGACACAGAATCAAGAAAGGGAAGGGTGGGGCCCGATCAGCCACAGACCGGCCGGGCCCTGCCCTCAGGCTCCCTCCCCCCCCCCCCCCCCCCCCGCCGCCTCTGGGCTCAGGTTCAGGTGCGCGGCCCGTCCTTGCTGCCCCCATCTTCCTCCTCCCCTCTCTACCTCCAGTTCCCAGGAAGGGCCCTGTTGCTAGTGTGGTGCGGATGAGTCAAGTTTATGGGCTGGAAGTCCTACCCGGAGGCTGCTCACTGAGCTGTAACCGGCTGTGCAGGGGAGGGGGGTGCTCAGGGGACGAGGTACTGCTGCCACCCGTGGCCCTGGCCTGTCGCTAACTCAGGTGTTCAGCCAGCCCTGCCTTCGCCTCTGCCTCACTGTTCCCCCCCCGCCCCCCTCCCAATCCTTAGCAGCCTCCCCTCTCCTAATGCTCCGGTGCCAAGCAGGCTGGGAGCATCTGAGGACAGGGACCCCTCCTTCATCGTAGCACCCCCCGCCCCCCCAGCACTGGCCCCAACCCGACCTGAAGGAGGCTCTCCGCTGATGGCTGGCCAGAAATCACTACACACCAGCCAGACCCTGTCCTCCCTTCTGGCCAGTTTGAGAGGCCTTGCCTTGTGGAGGCAGGGGTGGACAAAATGCTCTGGGGCTTTGGGGCTGGGTGGGTCCACCCTTCCGTCCAAACGGAGGCATCAAACGCGGTGGCCCAGAGGGGCTCGGACAGGGAATGACAATGGCCAGCCGGCAGGGTAGGGCCTGGGGAGTTGGGTGAACACAGGCACCTCTCAGCTCCAGCCGCAGGACATACTCGCTGTGGGAAGTGGGAAGCCCAAGATACGGATTTTTATGTAAATCGTAACTGGCACTTAATTGAAAATAAAAGCGTGCCGGCTTAAGAAGGTAAGGCTCGCGGCCGGCCGGCGGGCACCATCTGCCTCACTGGGCCGCCCATCTCTCACGCAGGCCCGCCGACTGCTGCTCCAGGCGGCCCCCGTCCCCGGGCCCAAGATGACACCCAACGGCACCAGGGAGGCGCCCAGCCCCGTCCCCGCGGGGGCCTTGGGGCTCTCCCTGGCCCTGGCCAGCCTCATCGTCACTGCCAACCTGCTCCTGGCCTTGGGCATCGCCCGGGAGCGGCAGCTGCGCCACCCGCCCGCTGGCTGCTTCTTCCTGAGCCTGCTGCTGGCCGGGCTGCTCACGGGGCTGGCGCTGCCCGCGCTGCCCGGCCTCTGGAGCCAGAGCCGCCGGAGCTACTGGCCCTGCCTCTTCCTCTACTTGGCGCCCAACTTCTCCTTCCTCTCCCTGCTCGCCAACCTCCTGCTGGTGCACGGCGAGCGCTACGCGGCCGTGCTGTGGCCCCTCCGGCCCCGCGGGAGCCCGCGGCTGGCCCTGCTCCTCACCTGGGCCGGCCCCCTGCTCTTTGCCAGCCTGCCGGCGCTGGGATGGAACCGCTGGGCCCCCGGCACCAGCTGCAGCTCCCAGGCCGTCTTCCCCGCGCCCTACCTCTACCTCGAAGTCTACGGGCTCCTGCTGCCCGCCGTGGGGGCTGCCGCCCTTCTGTCCATCCGCGTGCTGGCCGCCGCCCGCCGCCAGCTGAGCGACATCCGCCGGCTGGAGCAGGCAGTGAGCCGTGGCGCGCCGTCGGCCCTGGCGCGGGCGCTCACCTGGAGGCAGGCGAGGGCGCAGGCCGGGGCCACGCTGCTCTTTGGGCTGTGTTGGGGGCCCTACGTGGTCACCCTGCTCCTCTCGGTCCTGGCCTTCGAGCAGCGCCCGCCGCTGGGGCCCGGAACTCTGTTGTCCCTCATGTCGCTGGGCAGTGCCAGCGCAGCGGCCGTGCCCGTGGCCATGGGGCTGGGTGACCAGCGCTACACAGGCCCCTGGAGGGCGGCCGCCCGGAGGTGCCTGCGCGCGCTGCAGAGGAGAGCCCCCCGGCCCCGGCCCAGCCTACCACACCAGCAGCCAAAGCAGCATGGACCTCGACCTGAACTGGGGCAAGGGCCTCTGCCGGCCCCTACTCGAAGCATCTGTCCATCTCGGCCACCGAGCCAGTCTCCTCTTGTCCCCAAGCCCCGGGATCAGAGGCCCTGCCCTTATGTGACCCCACCCTGACCAAATAAACTCCTCTGGCCCAGTTCACGGTTATCTCACTCCGCAGCTCCGAAAGAGCGGTGCGGGCGGGGGGCAGCGGCGGAAAGAAACCAAAGCCAGACATGCAGCCACACAGATCCAACTCCCTCAGAATCAACTGCCGGGGAGGACGAGCCGCCGCCCCACACGGTGAGCTGAGGGATCTCGAAGCCTAGCGGACTTTGCGGGGAGCCTCACCCCGACGTGTCCCTCAACTGGTTCCTCAATGTCCAGATGCCACAAAATCCACATACACACGGTCTCTGGGAAGTATATTTTATTTACATTTTTAAAATCTGTAACTAATCTCTCTTCCTCCTTTCCACCCCCCTGAGACTTGGGAAGGGAAAGAACGGGAACCTCAAAGACCTACTCCCCACATACAAACACACACCCCCGGGGCTCCCACCAGCAAAGGGAGGTGAAAGAGAAAGGGGCCTGACCACCCCCCCAACCCCCCGAGGGACCCGCAGGTCTGGGTGAGGGTGGCGGGGGGAGCCCAAGGGGTGGGTCTCTTAAGAGAAGGGACAAGAGGGGGCAAGTCAGTTTGGAGGGGTTGGAAAGTAGTCCGAGGCCCCCCCCTCTTCCCCCGTACCCTACCGCCTCTGCTGGTGGGGCTCTCCCTTCACCCCTCAACACCAAAGCAGAGACTGCAGCCGTTAGCGGTCAGGTCTCTGGACACAAAATACTTTTGCTTTGTGGTCTCCTGACGTTGTCACCACCAGGGAGGCATCTCTGTGGACAGAAAGCGCAGGTCGATGGGACTGAGGGACCTGGGGCCCGGCCCCAAGCCCATTACCCAGGGACCCTCGGGTGGCCCCCTCCAGGGCATCCTCAATCCTAGATCCCTGGTGCCTGGCACTGGGCTGACACGACCATGTCGAGTGAACACACTGGACGCCAGCAACCAGTAAGGGGATCGGAGAAGAGCCCACAGCATGGGGGGAGACGGTCCCAGCCCCTGAGCCCCGGAGCGGAGACGTGAGAGCCCACACAGGTCACCATCAAGCAGAAGCGACAACTCCCTCAGGCTTGCCCGCACTTCAGGCTCACACACCGGGCGTGGGGCCCCAGCTTCCCTTAGGAAGCCCCTCCCACACCCCAAGGACCCTACAGCCCCCCCAGGTGCCATTCCCACCCTCCAAATACACAGAGGCTCCAGCCCTTGCCCAACTCACGTACTTGCTGAGGGCGAAGTCCAGGATCTCGGCCGTGTGGCCCCGGTAGTCCGTGAGCAAACGGCCGGTGCGAGCGTCCCAGAGGCGCACGATGCCGTCCAGGCTGCAAGTGTAAACCACGGCGGTGCCTGCCTCCCACAGCAGCTGCACGATGCCCGACTGCACCGGGCGGGGTGGGGGGGGCACGGGACAGAGTGGACAGAGTGGATGTCAGGGCCGGGAGAGCGGGGAGGCGCCGGCCCTGACTCTCGGGGAGGGCTGGAGGAGGGGAGCAGTGGGGAGGCGGGGAGGGCCACAGAGGGCCACGCTGCAGCTCCAGGCTGCCCGTACCTGGTGCTGACACCGGTGCCTGAGCGTCTGCGTAGATAGGTCGTAGATGGCCAAGGTCCCGTCCAGGTAGCCGACCGCTGCCAGAGGCATCCTGGGCAGAGGAGGGCACCACTAAGGCTCGTGGAAGGACCTGGACTCACGCACTCTGCACTCCTCCCTGGCTTTCCGGCCCAGGCACCCCTCACCAAACCCCCTCCTCCCCAGCTTTCTCCTCTCCAGGCCGAGGCCCTTCTCACACTCACACGCTGCAGAAGCCCAAAGACTCCACGGAGTTGGACTCGCTCTCCTCCCCTTCTCCCACATTGGGCTGGGAGGCCACGGTCTCGGGTCTGAAAACCCCCACCACCTAGAAGCCACGGGAGACAATTCGAGGATGGGAGGAGGGCTGATGAGTAGGAGGAAAGGCGACAGGAGAGGGACTGGGAGAGCCCTCAGAGGCGGGGGCACGACACGGGAGGCAGAGGCCCCAGAGCCTGGCTCCGGGTCACACTCACCTTGCCAGTGGTGGCACTGACCAGCTTGGCCTGGCAGTCCACGGAACCGGTGAGGATCAGGCTGCCGTCCTGGTTGGTGGCGACACAGGTCAGAGGGCCCTGGTGACCCTCGGTCCCTAGGACGGAGCAGACAGCTAAGTCAGGCTTCCTCGACGCACCCAAGGCCTACCCCAGGCCTTCCGCACAGACACCCGCTGAACCCTGGCCCTGCCCTGGAGACCTTTTAGTACGTGGATCGAGCTGCCCTGCTTCAGGTCCCAGATCCGGATGGTGCCATCTTCATAGCCGACCACGGCTCTCTTCCCTGAAGGGCCACAGGCACGGACGGAGAGAAGGACAGACAGCACTCGCAGGCACACCCGGCAAGGGAATGGAGGGGAAGGGGGAAACCAGGAAGTAAGGGAACAGACGCCGCCCCAGGGACTAGCGGCCAGTCAGGGCAGGAAAGGGGAAGCGGTTGGCTCTGGGGCCTGGGTCCATGTTCCAGACAGCAGAGCTTGGAGCTGGCCGACTAAGGCCCGGTAGGGAGCCCAGGAAGGTGGGTGAACCTGGAGCCAAGCTCTCTGTGCCCTGGGAAAGACAGACAGGACAGCGGCCCTCACCGTCAGGGAGGACTCGGCCACAGGTAGCTGGGCAGCTGGGGCCTTGGAAGGTCTTGCAGTCACCATTTGGGACCTTCCACATCCAGGTGTTGCCATCAGCCGTGCCCGCCAGGAGGACAGGTGCCCGAGGGTGCCACTCCATCCACTGGGCAGAGAGGAAGGGTCAGCAGGGAGGCCTGGCCCCCCTAGGAGCCCGTCCCGTAAGCGCCACCCAAGCTGTCCTTGCTTCCAACGGCGGCAGGGACGGGACAGGAAACAGAGCCCCACACTCTTGCTACACGTGGAGAGCACAATGCCTTAGAGCGGGCTCGGTCTGGTAAAGGCGAGACTGGACCCCCCAGCTCCCAGCTCCTCCCCGAGGCCCCGCGCAGCTAACACCACTCTGATGCTCTCACCTCCAGATCTCCCGCTTCAAAGGACCAGACTTCCTCCTTGGTGTCCACCTGCCACACTTTCAAGAGGCCACTCATGTCCCCTGTGGCCACAAGGGTAGAGTCGTGGCTGAAACCAGCACAAGTAACAGAGTCTTTATGGCCTGCAAAGGGAAGGAGGCAGAAAGAGAGGAGAACATCAGGAAAACAGGACCCAGGTGTCTGGCCCCCAGAAAGGACCAGCTGGGAAGAGAAGAAGGGTGGGTCCCACCGTAATAGGTGACTCAAGCTCACTGCCGCTCCAGGAGGTCTCCCTAGGGATGGTAATGCTAGCCTCCCACTCAACCATGCCTAGCCCAGGCCTATGTCCTCCCCATTAGACCTTCCCCAGACTCCTTTGGCCAATACTGGCTCCCTCCCCATGCCCAAGACAGACTAAGTTATTCTGAGGTCCTCGGGTCCAGCATAGAACTGGCCCAAAATGGGCACCAGTAAATGGCTGCTGGACGCACAATCATTGCAGGCTAGCCCCCTAAGACCTCCAAAGGAACACGACCTCACCCATACTCCCTCACCTGCACACTCAAAGAGCAGCTCCCCATCGCTGAGCCTCCACACGAAAGCTTTGTCATCCTCACCCCCCGTCACTGCCAAGGTGTTGGTCTTGGGGTCCAGGCTCACACAAAACACAGATGCTGTCCAAAGAGATATTCCATGAGTAAGCGGACAGGGCTCCCACCCCAGGTTCTGTCCTTCAGGACCTTCAGGAAACCCACCCCCTTCCACCCAAAGCAACATGTCTTTCCTCCTGGAAAAGAAGAGTGCATCCAAGTTCTTCTAAGTTTCAAGCATCAAGTTGTTGGAGCAATTCCTCCCCACGCTTGCCAAGCTCCAAGTCCTTGCCCTGGGCTGCTGCGTTCACCACCCCAGACAGACGCACAGACAAGAGGAGGGTACACGTGGAGGCTTACAGGTCTCAGCGCGGGCTGCCACCAGGCTGAGCACAGAGTGAGGAAAGCACCACGTCACCTACCTCATTAAGGGCTACCATTTGGGAGAATTATATAAAACATGCTCAAAAAGGTACTACTACCTCTAACTTACAGCAAGACAACTTTTTGAAAAGAAATTGAGACCCAGAGAGATTAATAGAAATCACAAATCTGTAAGGAGCAAAAGGGGAATTTGAAGCCGGGTGTCTCGGCTGGCTCCAGGAGCTAAGCTCTGCCCCAGGCCTTCACGGCGCAAGTTCCTCCAGGGGAAGGCCAGCCTCTGTTTTCCCACCTCCATGTCCCTCGGAAGGCTCCCGACACAGCAAGTGTGTGATGTTCAAATGCCCACGTGCACTGAGTTGATGACGGATCTCCTCAGAGACCTACCTGAGTGCAACGCAAAGGTGACTTCGCTGTCGTCTGGGCCCTCCATGCTGCCGACCACCCCTTCCTGGGGTTCCAGAACCCAGCCCTCCTCGTTGCCCTCTTCCTCTTCCTCCTCTTCCTCAAAGTCCACATCTTCCATCTCCTGGGCCAGATCATCTGCTTCGGGGAGACGGTTAAGAGATGGGGCTCGGCAGACAGTAAGAAAGAGGGCAGGGGAGACGTGGTGGGGAGGCCTGGGGCGCTGGGATGTAGCAAGAGGGTCGGCTGAGGTCAGACGGAGAGGGTGAAGCGCGGGGAGGAGCGACAGGGAGGAGGGGGCACAGGGGACGGAGGACAGGAGAGGGTCTGAGGACCCGGGGTTGGCGAGAGACGGTGTGCGAAGGGAGGACCGAGGGGATGATGGGAAGGGGGTGTGTGAGGGGAAGGGCCAGAGGAGGCGTCAGGGGAACCCCCACCCCTGCCAGGCCTGAGAACTAAGTGTGGGGGCAGGGCAGGGGGAAGGGCGACAGAGGTCGGTAGGAATGACTGGTGGGGAGGGGACGGGAGGGGGGAGAAGCAAGGGTCAGAGGCCAGGGGTGAGCGCCTCCTGTCCCACGGCCCGAGGAGCGACAGTTCTCACCCGGGTCCGGCGGGCCAGGATCCAGTTCTACCACCTCGATAATCTCCTCATCACCATGGAAGCTCAGGGTCTCCAGTGGGGGGGTGTCAGCGGCGGCCCCGCTCTCGGATTCGGACTCCATGCGGCGCAAGCGGCCGATCCACTTCTCTGGGCCCAAACGCCTCCCAGAGTCAGCTCTGCGCGACGACGCGGAACTCGAGCCCCTCCTCCCGGGAGGAAGTAGGCGTAGGCGACTCCCCGGCAGGAAGAGCGACGGCCGCTAGGCCAATGGCGAAGGGGGCTAACTGGCCGACCCACCAGTCACAGAGCAGAGATGGGAGAAGGGGCCGGGGCGTGGCGGGGAGAACCCAAACTCCGCCCGGCCTGACTCCGCCTCCAACAGGAGGGAAACAAGCGAGCGTGCGCGCCTCCGGGGTCTCCTGGGAAGAGTAGTTCTCCCGGGTCCCCTCGCAGGCTTCTGGGAGATGTAGTTCCTGGTCTGTAGGCAGGACGGAAGGAGCGGGGGAGGCCCCTTACGCAAACTACAATTCCCGGCGCGGAGCGCGGTGAAGGGGGGGGTGGGATCTGAACATGGCGGCGGTGGTAGCTGCTACGGCGCTGAAGGGCCGGGGGGCGAGAAATGCCCGCGTCCTCCGGGGTAAGGAGAGGGACCCCGGGGAGGGCAGGACGGCAGGGGATCCCCTTTTTTTATACATCCCGACCAGCAGTAGCAGGAGGTCATGGCTGTCGATTCCTGCCTGCACCCCTCTGCAGGATCATAAAGAGTCAAGGGGCTCAAAGATGCTCTCTAGAGGTCACCCAGCCCATCCCCCTGCCCTCAAGTTGCGCGACACCTCTGGGGTCATGCTGCGAGAGGGAGCTCCGAGGAAGCCTTTTAGACTCCCGCGCTCCAGGTGTTTCACACTCACCGCAGTGCAGAGGAAAGAGCCCTGGGCTTCTGGAGGCTTGGGTTCTAGCCCCGGATAATTAGCAGTTTGACCTTGGGCGAAGCAGTTCGGCTCTTGGGGCTTCAGTTTCCTCTTCTATAAAGTAAGGGGATGGAGTAGACTACCTTTAAGCTCCCAGTGCTAACATCCTGCAGTTTGAAAACCTTTCCTCGGATTTCCTTCATACGACTTATGTGAGCCCCACTGCAGTCCTTCACATCCTGTCGTCTGAGCAGATGAAGAACAACGAAGCTCGCTCTCCTGGCACCAGGGTGATGAGCCCGCAGTGACGTGGAAGTGGCTTCCAGAGGTGCCACCTCGATGGCAATTTTCCCATTTTCCCTTTGGATTCTCCCTGGCACTCGTTACTCCAAACTGCCGTCTCTCCCCTTCTTCCCCTGGCCTTTCTTCTCATTCTCTCTTACTGACCTTCCTTCCTTCCATCCACAGGGATTCTCGCAGGAGCCACAGCTAACAAGGCCTCACAGAACAGGACCCGGGCACTGCAAAGCCACAGCTCCCCAGAGTGCAAGGAGGAGCCGGAGCCCCTATCCCCTGAGCTGGAATACATTCCCAGAAAGAGGGGCAAGAACCCCATGAAAGCTGTGGGACTCGCCTGGTGAGTTTTAACTAAAACTCTTTGCCCACCAATGGGGAGTGGCACAGTGGAGGGTGGGACCCAGAAAGTTCTCCAAGTTTCAGGTGGTGAGTTGAATCTGAGGTTGTGGGAACAGAACTGCTTGGCGTGAGGACTGGAATCTCAGAGGAATGGCGCAGGGGAGGGGGGAAAGTATGTGGAATTGGAGACACAGTGGGGTTTCGGTGTAGTAAGCTGAGCTAATCTGATTTGAATTTGGGTCCCTGGCCTCATTCTCTCTTTTGGGAGCTTGGGCTGAAAAGCCATTGAGCTCTTTCATGGAGATCGTTAAGATCATGTGAGATTATGTTAGTTGTATAAAGTAGCATCTAGAAGGTGTTCAGTACTTCGTTATTTGGATGTGACTCTGACCTTAATATGTACTGTTGATCAACATTGAAAGGAGGGGAAAATTAACACTTTTTTTTTCCCACACCTGAGGTGTGCCAGTACTTTACAGTGTAATGTTTTAGTTTTTCTGAGATAAATGTTACATCCCTTAAACCCAAAATACAAAAAAACCCTTTTTTTTAAGTACATCCCATTTCCCAGAGGAGGGAACTATAAGTAAGGTTCAGAGGTGGGATCCTCACCAGGTCTTGTGACTCTGTGCCCTCTCCCCCACACTAAAGTGCCTCCCAGGTAGTGGTTACTCAGATGAAGGGGAGTCTGGGAGGGGATGTGGGGCAGTTAAGGCAGAGGGAACCTTTGCCAACACTTGGAGAGGGAAGGAGGATGGGCCATCTGGAGAATCTTGCATAGTCCGTATGGCAGGATCGCAGGGCTCACGTCAAGGAGCCTCAAGCTATACGGGACAGGAATGAAAACGTGGGCAGAGGACCAGCCACACTGGGCCTTCTGTGCTGTGCCTAGGAGTTTGGATTTGGCCAGGAAGTGACTGAAAGCTGTTAGAGAGTTTTAAGCAGTGCAGCAGCAGGATCTGATTTGCTTTTGGCCCTCCAGCAGCCAGTGCAGAGGCTGCATAGACAAGAGAGATATTGAGGTGTTCGTGCAACCGATGAAGCTGGAATGAGATTCCCCCAGCTCCTCTGGCTCAGGCATGGCCCTTCCCCAAATCCCGTGCACATCTCCCCACCCCTAGGGCCATCGGCTTCCCCTGTGGTATCCTCCTCTTCATCCTCACCAAGCGGGAAGTGGACAAGGACCGTTTGAAGCAGATGAAGGCTCGGCAGAACATGCGGGCATCCAACACGGGCGAGTATGAGAGCCAGAGGTTCAGGGCCTCCTCCCAACATGCCCCGTCTCCTGAAGCGGGGTCAGGGGTGCAAGCCTGAGGAACACTGCCACCCTCCCCTAGACCCTATTGACTGTGGCCTCCAAGACTGTGAAGTCCTCTGGGTTTGGCCAAGATTCCGGTCCTTGCCTATGAGGTCCACCAGAGGGCGCTGCCAGCCCCCTGCCCCGCCCCTCCTCAGAAGCCAGCCAAAGGCAAATAAAGTCCTGAAATGTTTTGAGCATAAAGGAACCAGGAGTGGGCTTGTGAATTCCTTGGGACGGGAGGGGCCGAGGGAGGGGTTGGTTACTCACATGTGCTCCCTCTCACAGGAGCGTTCAGTGTTCCTGGCTGGCTGGTTGGGGAGACTACAGAGACTTAAGTACAACAAGCCTAGGCTCAGGCCCTGGGGACCAAGCCTTCAGAGCTGCTGGCCAGGAGGGTGGGGTCTCACTGAGCCTCTAACGAAAAATAAAAAGAATGAAAAAGGGCGTTCAGAGTGTGTGTGTTGGGGGGGGGGAAGCGCTCCTCCTCTTGGGTGACTGGGCACTCTGGGCCTCAGTTTCCTTGTTTGTAACAGGGATTGGACTAGTGATTTCTAAGGCATGGGTTCTAAACTTGAACCTGTGGTTCATCTCCCCCCACCCCCACATGCGAAGTCGTGTGAACACATACAGCTTTGTGGGGAGGAGAGTTCATAGCTCTCATGTGCTTTTGTAAAGGGTCCAGGATGCAGAAAAGGTCACGTGCCACTGCTCTGACCGGTCCCTGCCAGACCCCATATTGCAGGGTTGAACCTTTACCAGTCTGTTGCATCCATCACCCGGAAGCACTGGGGCAAAATATATTTGATTATCTTAGAAAAGGCAGAAGACGCCAAGCCGGAATGCAGAGGCAGGAAGCGGATGCTTTGGGCAGAGCCAAACCAGCACTCCCAGAGCTCCCACCTTAAAGCAAAGAAACCAGAGCCAAATAGGGGTTTAACTCCTAAACATAAAACTTTATTACATTTCTAGTTATGTCCTTTTGCATGATATATTTACGACCAAGTAGTTAAGAGAAGTCCTAATTATATCCTTGGGCTAATTTGGTTTCCACCCCCACCGATAGATTGACTCTTGTCTCCCCCCGCCTCCCCGTTCCAGCTTGAGGCACTATGTGTAGCGAAGAAAGTGGCAGCTGGCTGGAGAGATAAGCCTCAAGTCTGAAATCCCCCAGTACAAACTGAGAGCAGAAGTCTCCTTTCGCTCAGGGTCCTCCCCAGGTTAGCATAAGAACACGGAAGTTTCCATGGATACCACAGGAGGCTTTCATATCCCTCAGACCAGGCGGAAGACCCCAGAGCCTTTCCCCTGCCCCCACCCTGGCCTCTCTTCACCTTCGTTACTTCCTGGCCACACTTACAGTCCTACAAACCACCCCATCTCCTGACCTTTGCTCCTCGCTTTCTGCTCGGAGCAGCTTGGGCACTGGAACAAGAGGTCTCTCTGACCAGAGATCGCAGAAGCAGCCAGGGAGGCCCCAGGCAGGGCTTTGGAGAATGGGGACCAGACGGCTGCGAACAGGCCTGTCCTCTCCACTAGAAGCCACGAGGAAGCCCAGGGTAGATGCCACTCTGTATTGGCCCCTGTGCTTGACTTTGCTTACCGCCCCCCTTCCTCCCCTGCTCCAAACAGTATCCATATATGCCATCGAAAACAGGGGGATTGAAGCAGGGGAGACCCAGGGGCACAGATCTACCTTCAGGAGCTTGAAGACACCAAGGGTTGTCAAAGGAGTACAGGACAATGGCCTAGGAGTCCAGGAGGCTGGGGACAAAGCTCTCTGACTTGGGGGTTGAGGGAGGAAATAGCTCTAGCTACAGAGCCCAGAAGCCTATGGCAGAGGTGGGAGGGGACACCTCATCACCTCGAAGTCACTTCTACCTCTCATACTCCTTTTTTGGCTACACAGTAGGCTCTTCTTGTCCTTCCCTGCAACCCCAGCTATTGAGAAGAGTTTGGTGCCATGTAGTGGGTGGAGAAGAAGGCACATCTGCCTAGTCCCCTCTGGGTCTACCAAAGGCAAGAGTTAGTCCCCAGTTCCTCCAGCCCACCAGGTAACCTGCGCATCTACCGCCAGAGAGGCCACCCATCCCAGGACAGAACAGAAACTGGGCATGTTACTGGAGGGGAAAGGAAAGGGATCTGAGGTCCAGACTCTGGTCACAGGGCCCGGCCCTCTAGGGAAGTGGGAGCCCACGGTGGGGCGGAATGCGGTGCTCCTTAATTGCGATCCCCGACGAGCTGCAGCACAAAGGTGAAAATGTAGATGATGTCGGTGTAGATTTGCAGAGCGCCAGTGATATAGTCCTCGGGGCTGATGGTGTGCTTCCGGTTCCCAAGGACCAGCTGCGTGTCATAAGCCAGGAACTGTAGGAATAGGGAAGGCACGCGTGAGAACCCAGGGGCTCCGTGGCCAGAGCTCCTTTCTGGTTCTCGTTTCATCAGCAGATCTGTCCTGGGGAGCTTCCATGCCATGCACTATGCTTAGGGACATGTTAACGAACAGCACAGCACGTGGTCTCTACCCTCAAGCAGTTCAGAGTCTAGAAAGGGAGAGAGACACACACCCTCATCCGTAATAGGGCCTGCTGGGTGTGCTCCATAGCTGGCGGGTGAACAAGAGGTGGCAGGAATGCCCAGAACATCAGTCACCTCGACAGCGGAGAGAGAGAAAGGTAACTGTGGCCTGCTCCCTGCCTCCCAAGCAGCCCAAATTCATGCTCCGTCTGTCTAGTTGCTCCCCTCCAGCCCCTCAGCTCCCCTGCCAAGAGGGAGCAGGGCCTTACTCACCAACGTGAAGCAAATGGCCCCCAGAGCAGCATAGACCATGTGGAGCCAGTAAATCTGGGGAGAGGGGACGGGGATGGTGTTAGAAATCTTAGCAAAGCCCGGACCTAGGCAGTCCCTCAGAACCAGCTTCCCCTGGAATTCTGGGAAGAATAAGGAAGAGTAGGGAGACCCAGGAAGCTAGCTACATGAAAGGACCACTTCTGCCTTCTACATCGGGGAAGAAATTAGGAGTAGTAACATATTTGGAATGCCTGGCTGGCTCATTCAGTGGAGCATGCAACTCTTGATCTCGGGGTTGTGAGTTCGAGCCCCACACTGGGTGTAGAGATTACTTAAAAAAAAAAAAAGAATAGTAACAAATTTGGACAGAGAAAACAGAGGCCATCCTTCAGTGGTCATATGAAACCAAGCTCCAAAGTTAGGGTACAGAAGTGTCCACTGTACTTCTAGAAAAAAGCAGATGGTTGCGTTATAGCTCCGGGAGGGACAGAGCCAGGCAGGCACCGGTTGAAGAGCCCTGCCCCCTTTCCCCCAGTCCTAGTCCACACTCAGTCGTGCTTCCTGCCGCCAGCGTGGGAAGGAAGCCCCCAGCCACCGAAGGACTGCCGGAATCCTGGAGACCTCCGGGTGCCTGTTCACAGAAGGGCAGGGCCAGCCATGGTCCAGTAGGCAGATGCCCTCCCAGCACTGTGCTCCCCTCCTCGCAGGTCCCTTCCATGCAAGCCCATCTTCTCAGTCCTGGGCGCCTCTCCCATCTTCCTTCTGGAACCTAACCTCAGCTGCCAGGCAGATCGCCCCACTACTTCCCATGGGAATTCTGCAATGCCATCCAGGGCCTTGGGTTCTATGGCTCCCAGGGCCTTCTCATCTCCAGATAGAGATTACCCTAACCCAAACAATGGTGCTCCGGTGTGGGAGCCTTTGCTAGCCAGTTGTGAGCTTCCAGAAGAGCGAGCCTGCCCAGAGGCCTGGCCACCACTTGATACAGAAAGTCTCCTCCAAGTGCTAGGTTCACTGACCCCAGCTCTCCCAGGACACTCACATATTTGAAGGACAGCACAATGGCAGTGACAATCCCTGTCACCATCATCACAATTCCCAGGACACAGAAGAGGCCTGTGCACGAGGTGAAGTCCACCTGCCAGAAAGGGAGAAGGAGGTACCTGTCAGACGAGTGTCACAACCAGCAGCCCAGCCAGACTCCCCTGCCTCCCCAGCCGGGGAATCCCAGTGCTGCCTCCTAGAAGGCGCGGGAGTAACCATGACATTCTAAAGACAGACACAGGAAACAGTTTTATAGGTGCAGACAGGAGGGGAAGGGGATTAGGGTCTCTAAGGGAAATCCCTGGTGTAGAGGGGTCTGGGCCCTGGCAGGCCTGCTGCGGTGCCAAGCCTGGAGGGCCAGGTTTATATAAAGAAGGGGGGGGTAGCCAGGGAAGTGCCCCCCACCCCTCCCCATACCCTCACCTTGGTCTGGAAGCAGAAGATGGTGACCGAAATGGACACCACAGCAGTGATGATCATTGCAATGATGACAGCTTTGGTTTCATACACACTGAGGGGAAGAAGGAGTTCAGAGAGGCCAGAGGCATAAGTCATGTAGGAATGACTTCAAAACTATCACTTCTAGAAGGATCCTGCCTGGCATCCCCCCCATGCAGAGGACCGCGGGATGCCCCACTCCCCCATAATACACACTTCACAAGAGTGTGATGGTTTGTCCCTGAGTGTACCTGGAAATGGTGCCCGTCATGAAGCCCATGGCAAGAGTCTGAGGGCAGGACAGAGACAAGAGTGGAACACGTAAGAAAGGCAGGTCCCCTGCAGGCACGGCCCTGGCAGACTGCCAGAGCTGGGGGCACATGTGACTGAGCAGGAAAGAGGCAGCCAGGAGGAGACCAAGGGTGTGGGTCAGGATAGGGTGGGGGAGAGAGCCAGGGACATCGGCCACGGTTGTGTCCCCAGCCCTTCCCTGGGACCCACCCTCCCTCACCCCTTCTTGACTTACAAAGATGGTCAGCAGGATGATGTTCCATGGGAACCGGCGTCTGAAGGGAAAAAGACCATGATTAAGTGACTTGGGGCCAGCCAGGTATCAGAGGCTCCTTCAGCAGAAGGTAGCTCTTGGCTCAGGTGCTTGGAGAATGTGGCCTTGACTTGGGGGGGGGCGGGGAGGCTGGCATGGCCTTTGGGACCTGCTCAGGTGTTCTATGCAGGGACAGCATGGGCCAATGGGACAGACCTGGGCTGTGGAACCACAAAGACCCGGATCCATTTGCAGCTCTTACCCGGCCTGCCTGTGTTAACTGTGGGAAAGTTACGCAGCCTCCCTGAGCCGTGGGTGCTTCCTATTTGTAAAATGGTTAAAATGCTACATACCTTGCAGAGGTACCGTAAAAATAACAGCCACACAACTGAATCGATCCCACACGGGCAAGGGACTTTAAACACACCTGAACCTCAGCTGCACCCATCACCACTCAGCTGCTGTAGGGATCCCCTTTCTTCCCCAAACACTTGGTCCCGCCCGTTTGCCCCCCACCATCCCTTCTCATTGTCTGGGACTCACCTGGGTCCCTGGCAGCAGGCGAGGGTCAGATAGGTGGCCAGGAAGACAGCACTGGGAAGAAAGTGATGAGGAACTAGTCCACAAGCCCGGTCCACCCCTCAGCCCCCTCCGGGCCCCGCCTGGCAGCACTCCCCAGGCGGGCAGGCTGGGGGCCCACGGAACCCTTTGGAAGTCTGAGGGGAAGCCACCCAGGACAAGGGTACCCCAGCCAAGGGCACTGAGAACCTCTGAGACGGGGTTTAGCCAGGAAGGAGGCTGAAGGAGACCGAGGCAGATAAGCTAAGAGAACTTGAGGACCCGATGGCAGTCTGCGTGTTGTGTTGCCGCCAGTCCCCCACCCCTGCTCCCAGGCGCTCGGTGGTGCTGTCACTCCTCACTAGGCCCCTCCCACACACCCACACTCTCCAGCACAGCTGGCAGCTTGAAGGGCCCCTCTCAAAACGTATTTGGATCCCTGCCCTGAGAGAAGCTGGTCAGTGGTCCCCCCTCATCTCCTTGCCCCCCCTCCCCCAACACACATACAGCAGAGGGGAGCGGAGACTCACTAGGACACATAGTAGACATACAGGTTTTTCCTCACGAAGTCACCAACTGGCTTCCTGTGGAGCAGGGGAGGATGGGAGGGGAGAGGAGTCATACAAGGCTTGGCTACCTCCCTGCCCAGGCCCCCCCCCACACTTCCCTTCAGGGTCCATCTGAGCACAGGGCCCACCCCACCCCGCACGCCCCGAAGGGGACCCAGTAAGACCGGGGCAGCGTCCTCAGACTCACACGAACGTGAAGATAGCGATGATGGCCACCGTGATGAGCAGCTGGATAGAGATGATGGTGTAAACCTGGAACACAAAGCCGGGGGCGGGGGGAGGGAAGCACGTGTCACCGTCCCACGCAACCCCCCAGGAAGCAGCCAGCCCCCTGGCCCAGGAGCCCAAAGACCCTCTCTCACTGGCAGGGAGGGGGCTCTTTCTTAATTTTGGAGGATCTCTTCTTACTTCATTTCTCCTCAGGGGCCCTCCCCTGCTGCCGCCTGTCCTGAAGGCCACCCCGGAGTGAGGAGTCTGGCTCAGAGACTACCCACACCCTCAGGGCTGACCCCTACCTCCGGCTGCTCCTTGCCATCTCTCCCCACCCGCCATGTCCCACGGCCAGCCTCGCTTCCCTGCTTCCTCCTCCCGTCTCACTACCAGGTAGTCCTCCCCGCTGCTCACACAGCAGTTTCTGTGCCGACTCGGAGCAGGGCACTGTGCACATAGGAGCCAGGGGAGAGGGGGAGTATAAACAAGTATGATCATTCTGGCTTTGAGTTGCTTCCAGTCTCACAGGAGAAAGAAGTTTGCGGAGGGCAGGACAGTTTGGCAGAGCCCGCCTAGATTTTCCTAGATTGAATCTGTCCCCTGCCACAAGGTCAAGGAAGAGAGGACTGAGAGGCGGGGAACAGGGGTCAGAGGAGCTGCCCCCCCCCCCCGAGGGCAGGGCAGAGCTAGGAAGAACTTGGAAGGCGGCAGCATCTCTCCATGGAAATGAGTGCCCGGGGCTGACCGTGCCTGGCCCCCCGCACCCCGTCCCCACCCCATTCCCATAGCCCAAGGGGCCCGGGGACAGTGGCCTCCCAGCCCGTGTCTCACCTTTCGGATGAAGGTGTGCCGGACTTTCCTGTCATCCCACTCTCCAGGCCCGAAGCTTTCACTCACTGCTCTCTCCTCCCCATCATAGCCCTGGCCTGGGCCTGGGGGGAACAGATCACGTGTGACCAACTGGGAACTGGGACATGTGACCTCAATCCCAAAGCCTGCATGACCTTATGTCAGAGTCTCCAGTATCTCCAGCCAAAAGACAGGTGCCATAACTCAGGAGCTCCTCACCCAAGCCAGGTCCTCTAGACGCCCTCAGAGTGACCCAGTGCTGGCCTGGGCACCATATGGAGCCGTGTGTCCCTGTCACAAGGGGCCTTAGGTGTGAGCCCATCCATCAGTGCACATTCATTGAGGGCTCCTGCATGAGGGTGTCTGGCCCACACCTGGGTGCTCTGGGGTGTGAACACACATGGTCCCTGCCATCTAGAGGTCACGACCTAGTGAGGAGGCCAGGCAGGGGCAGGGCTCTCAGGAATGAAAGGAGGAAAGGCAGGGAGAAACAGAGAGCACCTGTGTGGAGGGTGGAGAACAGAGTGAGGGCCATGTTCTCCATCTGGCAAGCATGAGCACTCAGGGATGCCAGGGGTCCACGTGCCCAGGACAAGGCGTGACTGTGAACGTGACGGGTGTGCTAACATCCCCACCAGAACACGTATGAACACGTATGGGCAGCTGAGGGCTGGCCGTGCCCCAGCATTCCAGAGGCTGCAGGGCTCAAAATATTCCTTCAGTGCCTCCTTAGGAACTGCTTTCAGAATCCACACATGAGCCATTCACAAAAAGGCGCTGCATCTCATCTCCCATTTCTGACCTGACAGAGCATTTCCCTGCCATGACATTTATCAAACATCCAAATGACTTCTGGATGTTTGCAAAACTCAGACATTACCTTAACAGATGAGGACCTGTTAGCACCGAGAATATTAACCAAAAAAAAAAAACAAACAAAAAACCAGTGTTTCAGGTTCTAAAGGCAATTCCTAAGGGAGGAGTCTGGGGGCAGAGGTGGCACCTGTCTAGTTAGGACATGGAAATGGCCTCCTAAGGTAGCCGCTGTGAAGTAACTAGTTACTTCATCCTGCCACTTTCTCATCTGATGTTTAAGTTCTGGTGTGTGACTATGGACTCCGTCTCCTTGCTGAATAAAGGGGCTAGCAGGCGTCTGGGGCGGGGGGTGAGGTGCTGAGGGGGCAGGTGGGGAGGTGGCAGGCGTCTGGGGCGGGGGGCGAGGTGCTGAGGGGGCAGGGGGGGAGGGGGCAGGGGGCGGGGGGGGGCGAGGTGCTGAGGGGGCAGGTGGGGAGGTAACAACGATGGGAAACAGAAAGAACTAAAGAGATGAAAAAAGGGATGAAACAGGAAGCTGAGAAGGAAGGAAAAGAGGTGGCTCGTGTGGGACAAGTGCTGCCCCATCATCCCTGCCTGAGCTCCCTTCAGGGACTCACCGTAGCGCATGGGCATCGGGTGGATGGGGGGCATAGGCTGCGGGTAGCCAGCAGGGTGACCGTAGCCAGGCTGGGGGTAGGCAGGGTAGGGAGGGTAGCCCCCAGGCAGGACGGACGGCTGCGCATAGCCCCCCTGGGGCGGAGAGCCAGGGTACAGGGGGTTGCGGTCCTCATACGGAGGGGGGGCGCTGGGGTTGGACATGGCCGCTCAAGGGCTGAGAGGAGACCCCAGCTGCTGGCACCTGAAATGGAGATGAGAAGAGCAGTCAGAAATGCCCAGACCCAGCTCACCAGGCCCCAGTCCAGGTTGTCCCTGTGGAGAGGGGACCCTCCTATTTTCTCTCTTAATCACGCCCCCCGTGTGTCATCCTGTGCCCACAGGCCATCCTCCTGATCCCCACAGCGCTGCCTGTGCCACCAGCTCAGCCCCTGCCCCTCGGCCTTCATGCCAGCTCTCTGGCCCCGGCCCTCCTTCCTGTGCAGTTTCATGCCCCCGGAAAGCAGAAGCGGCGGGGGGGGGGGGGGGGGGGTTGTGCGGGGGCCCAGGGCAGGCCCCCACCCCCCCGGGGGGGGGGGGGGGGGGGGGGGGGGGGGGGGTTGTTGTGCAGGAGCCCAGAGCAGTCACCAAGCACTGCTGGCGTGAGGGGCAGGGGGCGGGCCCGGGAACCCCCACCCCGTGCTCATTTAAGCCAAGCTTCCAGCGACCAGGGAAGAAGCCTGCTGGCCCAGCCAAGCCTCGGGGTGAGTCACAGGGCCAGCTGGGACCCATTGCAGGGGTCAGCCCAGCCCCCAGGGCAGGTGGCAGGGGCATGGAGCCTGAAAGGCGGAGCTGGGGAGGAGCCAAGGCTCAAAGTGGGGGGCGGGGGGGGCATGCGGAGAACAGCAAGCTAGCCCCAGGGCCGAGCCACCAGGCCCGGAGCCGGAGGGCAGTGGGCCCATGGCCAGTGGCTGAGTCAGGGGACGCCGGAGAGGCCTGGGCGAGTGGGTGCCCCAGGCTGGCCACTCAGGGCTGGGAAGCTGCACAAAAGGGCAGGCCAGAGACAGGACTTTCTGGCTCCTTCAGATAACAGCCTAGACAAATCCACCGGGTGTGCTGGGAGCAGGACAGTGCATGCGGGCCCCGAACCGCCCCCGGAGGGACAGACACATGTTTTGAACGCCGGGGCCTCTGGTATCCCCACGTTCCCCAGCAGGGGCCATGGCTAGTGGGGAGGACAGAGTGCTGAGGAGTCTGCCACCAGAGCCAGCCCGTACCTTCTCTGCAGCAGGAAGAGTCCCACAGCCGGGGCAAGGCTGAGGAACGCAGAGGAGGGAACCCCCAAAACAGCTCAAAGGGACCTCCAGGTTGTATGGCCCCAAACGCTCAATTCAGATAAGGGAATTAGGCACAGAACAGTGAAGGGACTCGGGACTCCCCAGGGTCACAGAAATCGCAGGTGAAGGCACAACCAGAATTGAGGCCTTCAGGGTCCTGGGTATGCACACTCTGTGTTAGGCTACATTGTCAAGGCCTCTTAGGCCAGATAAACGTCCCCCAGGCCTGGGGTCCCCTCTGAGGTTGCAAAGATCAGGGCTGCAGAAGAGCTAAGGAGGAGGTCCCAGAAAGGCCCTACGTCCTTGGTTAGGATGAGCCTTGACAGTGCCATGACCTCCTCCTACAGCATCTCCCAAGGGGCAGACCTTAAGGAACCCCCAAGGGAGGAAGCACCCCCCCCCCCAGATCCAGGCAGGCAGGCATCCTCAGAACCTCTGCTGGAAGGAAGAGAGAACCGGCTTCTCTTTTTAGGGTACTCCGCAGAGTCCAGGGATCAGATAAAGGACTGTCTTTTCTCTCTTACGAGAAGTGGGATGCAGAGAGGAAGGTGGTAGGGAGGGGCAGGGTGGAGGGGTGGCATAACAGGCCAGCTCTCTAAATGGGTTGCTTTGAGGAAAGCTGTTCATCCTCCCAGAGCCGACAGACCAGCACAACAAGAATGTGTCAGGTCAGAAATAAGAAAGACCTTTCTAGCAGTGAGGGTATGACACAGCGGCCCAACGTGTCCACAGCAGGCTTGTGGTGAAGGTCTGCACAGTGGAGGAGAGCGGCCGGAGATAAGGAGCGAAAGAGAACAGGAGACCAAACACTGAGTGTTGTTTCAGAAACAGATACTAACTGCTGTGGGAAAGTTCTGGGCCCATGTAAGGGTAGGGAGATGAGCATAGACAGGTGTAATGCGGAAATTTCTGTACATTTTTAAAAAGGAAGAAACACAAACTGACTCTCCTCCCCTGAGGCCAGAGGCTCCTTCTCCCTACACCCCCCTGCCCGCCCCTCTCCAGGAGCCCCCTTCTAACTCCACCAAGAGAATGGCGTCCTGTTTGTAGAAAGAGGTCTGAACAGGTCACCTTTGGAGTAGGGCTATCTGTCCTTATTATGGCCATCTCAGCCCCGGGTCCATCTGGGTGGTGGCACGCAGGTGAACAGGCCAAACATGACCCAAGAGACACTGGCAGGGAAGGCCCGGTGGTTGGAAGCCCCAGCTGGGCCACCACAGTGATGTCACCATGACCTGGCTCTGTCAGCTGCGCAGGGTGCACCTCTGTAAAATGAGGTGTCATGGGCCACATGATCTGTGAGCTCCTTTCCAGCTCTAGCCAACTGTGAATTATCTGAGGCACCCAGCTACGCAGGGCTTGCCCTTTGCCCAGCAAGCAACTGGCCCTCCCTCCTTCCTCTAGGCCAAGCCAGGCCAACAGGTCCCTTCCCAGACCACAGGGGCTGCGGCCCCAGACTGCGGGGTGAATCACCGAGAGAAAGGTCAGCCTTGGAGGGGCCCCCAGGACTCCGGGGGCCCGCTCCAGCTCAGAAGGCTACGGATCCCCGGGGCCCCCCTTCCCCCCCCCCCCCCCCCCCCCCCCGCCCCCGGCCCCGGACTCTTCTGGTTTCAGAGGAATTCGCCAGTAGACCTGCCTGCTGGAGACACAGCAGGTCACAGTCCAGTTCTCTGAGGGCTCAGCCAGCAGCCCATGCTTACCAGAGACTGGCACTGGACCACTTCACCTCACTATGCCTCGGTTTCTCCACCTGGAAAATGTGTTTTAACACTATAATCATACCCACCACAGAATTGTAAAAATGTGCATAAAGCACTTAGAAGGGTACCTGACCCCTGATAAAAACAGTAAATGGTGGCTGGTTTTAGTTATTATTTTATTAATCGTTATGGTAGTCCAACAGGGTGAATAATGTTATCCCTAGTCACAAATGAAGAAAGGATTTAAGTCACTGGGCCAAGGTTTCTTAGCTAGGGTGTGATGAAGTCCACACCCAAGCTCCAAGATGGACTCCAGAGCCCATGCTCTAATCCCACATTTGGACAGCCTGTCTATCTAAGCCTCTCATCACGTCTCATGGCTACCCATCTAAGACTCTCTTAACAACAACAGAAGGCTTACATAGCAAGTGGACACCGAGCTATTCAGCCCCCTCTATAATTGCCCCCCCAACCCCAGTTGCCAAACAACCGCCAGGAGGTGAAGAGGGTGGTCAGAGAGAGAGAGTCTTAACTGCCCGAGCTGAAAGCAAGCCCACTCATCTAAGGCGAGCCAAACCTCTCACCTTACCACGGGGACAGGAAGGTAGAGTGACCTATCCATGGTCATGGAGCTGGGCCCGGGGCTGGGACTACACCCTGGCTCTCTAGAGGTAGCGTCCTGGGCACAGGAGAGGGAGACGGTGTTGAGGTGGGTCAAGGCAGTGGCTAAGCTCAGCCTCACTCACCTCTGAGCGGGGCCAGGTGGGGCCCAACTGGCTGTGGCCTAGCCTACACGAGGGGCCTGGCCCCTTCCATGTCACTGAGGCCTCAGCTAAAGATGAGGTTTGGGGCCGGCCTCTGCCTAGGTAGTAGGGAAAGGGGGAAGTGGCCAGTGTTCACTTTCGTAGCTCTGACTAAGGGCGGGAGCTGGAGAACATGGAGTCGAAAAGGAATGAGGGGGAAGGGACGGAGACAGTCCAGAGACCAGAAACCAGGAATCGGGTCCTTTGGGTTCTGCCGGGAGCTAGCGGAGGAGCTCACAGTCTCCAGGGGCTAAAACGGACCTTTAAGGCTCCCCACTGCAAGCCTGAATTTTCCTAAAACACAGTAGGCATTCAGCTTCTCCTGAACACACTCCAGTAACAGGGAGCGAGGCTGATCACTTGCAGGCAGCCTCAATCATTGGAACATTCTTCCTCACCACGCCTGTTATCAAGACATTCTAACTCTGCCCCATCCCCGCCATGTTACAGATCTAAGTTTGCTCCTCCATCCTCATGACCCCAATCCCCCCCCATCAGGAAGGTGCCAGAAGCTCTCCTTTCTCCTCCAGACCCAGCCATCCTGGCAGCAGAAGTGGGTGGGCTCAGACCCAGGACTTGTTGGCTGTCAAGGTTTTCAGATACAGCCTTGAGGGGGAAGCATCTCCTTCCCCTGGAGCCATCTCAGTGCGGTCCAGGCTCGCGCTCCCCTGGGGGCACCTGAGGGTTAAGGCTCTGGAATCCACGCAGAAGGGTTGCAGCAAGAGGGTGTGTGTGTGTGTGTGTGTGTGTGTGTGTGTGCGCGCGCGCGCATGCGTGTGTCTCGGAGGGAGGGGTGGAAAGGAGCAGCTGACTGGTCAGGCAGCCTCCCTTCCTCTCTCTGCCAGGAACGGATGCCCAGAGCCAGGATGGAAAGAATAGCTCAGAGTGTGCATCTCAGGAAACCGCCCCCAGCAGGCGCGGGAGCACAGCCCCTGGTCTCATGCCAGTCTCCTTCCCTCCCTTTTCCTTCACCTACCCCCACCTCCTCCAGCCCTCCCCCACCCCCACGAACCGGCCCCCCACTCCCCTCCCGCCCCGGCCCCAGCACAGAGCCACCAGGGCAGAAAAGTAAAAAGATACACCCAGGAGTGTCTGGGCAAGTCACCAGGCCTGCTGCACACGGACCAAGAGGCCCAGAATCAACTTATCCTTCTGTCTGCCTGGCTTCTGGGAATAACAGGATGACTCTGAGGGGACCTAAAACCTGAGTCAGAAGAGCTGGAGTGGCCTTTAGAAATCACCCGGTTGCCTGACAGAAAAGGAAACCCCAATACCAAGAAAGTTCCGGCCCAGCCCACAAAAGGCCCTCTCGGTCATGGGTTTGGAACCTCCATTCCCAGCCCTGCCCATTGTCTGAGAAGCCAGTAACAGACGCAAGCACACACACAGCTGAGGCGGAGCCGCGACAAGTCACTTCCCTCCCCACCCCACCACCCCCGCCCTCCGTGCCCCCCTGCTCAGAAATAGATAAGGCTGCCAACCCACGACCTCCCTCCCGGCCCGATCTAGAGCCCAGGGCGGCCTCTCTCCCATCGGAGGCTGAGAGGGGTGGGGAGGGAGAGAAGCCCTGGGCAGCAGGGGAGGACCCAGGCCCCACATCTCTGTCACCCTTCACGGGGGTGGGGGGGTGGGGGGCGAGGGCGGTGTAGAAGTGGGTCACCAGTGCCAGTAAGCTCAGTGTCCCCAGCCACGTCACTGGTCACTGGTCCCAACGGCCTGGAAATGCAGATAAGGAAGGAGGAATCAGAAACATAGCCCCTAGCTACCTCCTCCTTTGCCTTTCAACTCCTGCGTTTCCATAGGACTTCAGATTAGGAGGGAGGAGAGGCAGACGTAGTTGGCAACCCACCATGGAGAACAGGGACTGAGTAACCCTTCCCTGCGGTGGGCAGGGCGGGCAGGAAGGAAGAGAGCCGCTTACAGCAGGGAGTACTGGGTATCCGGTACTGGCTACTAAGGCAGGTCTGAGCCTGACAACAGCCCTCCGAGGTGCATATTCTCATCCCCACTCTCCAGAGGAGAAAGCTGAAATTCATAGGAAAAACCCATCTAGGGGCCCACAGCAGGAAAACAGCAGAGATGTGTTTGAACCCAAATTGGACGTCTGATTTTAGAGTTCCAGCCCTTTGCTTTTACACCTGCTTAGAACACAAGCCCCGGAGACACCCCCATCAGCCACTTGGCGTGCACAGGCCACCACCTAGGGCGGGGTGACGTAGTGAAGACCTTTCCCTTGGAGGGAGTCAGTCCACGCCAAAGCTCTGGGTTAGAAGGCAGGGAGTGGAGTTTTTGCCCGGGTCCTAACTCCGCTGTGAGTCAGGGTGGGCCACTCCACATCCCTGGACTCTCTTTTCCCCACCATAAAACAGGTACACTGAACCAAGAGATCAAGTCTATTCCAACTCCAACAGCCTCTGCTTCTGAAGGAGCAGCCTAACAGAGCACAGCAGGTTTCGGGGCTTCCTAAAGAATCTACACCTGGGCTCACTCCCCATCTACAGAGGCAGACACACACGGCATGTTCAGGGGATGGGACTGACCCTAGCACCCTCTCCTCCAAACTGCCCCCATACTGCCCTCTGGAACCTACGGCCAGCATTTCCCTAGCCGCTCACTTACCCCAGAGCCTGCAGGGAAACACTGTTAACAGTGTAGACAAGAAAGAGTACCAGCAGGAGGGAGGTCAGGAGACCCGGACTCCAGTTCTAACCCTGCCACCAGGCAAATGACCTCCCTTGGCCTCCTTTTCCCCCACAGCAGCCCCCATGGGAGAGTGGGGGGAGGAGGGAGTAATTACCCAGAACCATGGAGTTGAGAGCTAAACTCATTCGGCCAGGCACTTCCCGGACTGCTCTAAAGAACACCACCCCAGGAGATGTTAATGGATGAGTTCTGAAACATAGAAATCTGAAAAACAACCCATACCCCTTTCAGAAATTCCCAAGGCACAACGGCATATTCAGCCTCTGAGCAGTCCTGCAATGAGCAAAAACTGTTCAACTTTGTTTAACCCAGTTTCCCTCCAAACTTCCTTAAGCCTGAAACATTTTTATCAGGGCACACCTAATTAATATCCTGTGGGATCCTGACCAGTCCACCTTTGTTTTACAGACAGACCCAGCCCTGAGAATGATTCATGTGCTAACTCCTCATATCCTAAAACCCGTCCTTGTAGCCCCCAGAGCAGTCACGTGAAGTACAAGTACGTCCCCTCACTCTGAGTCAGCTCGATCCCCGGCGAGGGTCCTCTCCTCTCCGCCGCCCACCCCCAAGACAGCTGCTATTATCTCCACAGTGAGATCTACTGCCAAGGGCTGGGGGACATCCTCAACTAGCACAGAACTAGGAGACTGGCATCCCCTAACATCACCTATATGTAATGGGGAAAAATACAAATCATTAAATACAAGGATTCATTCTTATCTTCCTCCCTGACCAGTGCATCGAGTACTCTCAGTAGCCAGCCCTGTGGCCTGTGGACTTCTGAATATCTCTACTTCCAAACAAGACCCAGGTTTTGGTCTAGAATCCCAGACTCCTAGGGTTGGAGGATCCGGTCAAGGCCGTCCACGGCATTCCCAACAGAATACTCAAGAAAGCCCACATCAGTTAACACATCAGTGTTAACCATATTGTTAGCAGAGGCCTTCTTCCCTGAGAGCTGTTGGAGCATCCACGCTCTGGCCCTCCCACTTCAGCGCTCCAAAGACACGAGTGTGTGTTCCTTCTCTGGGGCTTCTGCTCTTTCTGAAGGACCCAGAGTGAGAAGTTTGGGGGGTGGAAGTGCTCTGAGGTGGACAGCTTCCAGCTGAGGGCCCCGTTCCCGTGGGAGGAGTCTGAGCTGAGGTGGCTATTACCCCAGCCCATGACACGAAGCACTCCCCACACTTATGGCGTAACCCGTCATTACCTCTCTGACGTGCCCATTTTTACAAGTGAGGCCCTGAGGTCACGGCACCAGAAGACAGAGGAAGTCAGTGCCCTTGACACTGTGTGGTCCCACCACTTCTTTCCAAGTTACAAACTGGCTCTCTGTTTGGGTCCCCTGCCTAGAGAGACAGGGACGGCAGGCAGGTGAAGAAAAAGTACGGCTGCCCCTTTGGCCCAGACAAAGCAGCCCCAAGGCAGCACCGGGCTCCCCCGGCCACCACTGGCCTTTGAAACCAAAGCTCACCAGTGAGATGAATATTTCAGAGCCCCAGAGAACTGGACACCGGAGGGAACTGCCATGACATCTGGCTCTGACCCTAGTTCCCAGGCCTTCCCCCACTTATCCCATGCCGGACGTTGGCATTAGGTAGAAGGCCACCCCCTGGATACCACACCCAGGCCACAGGGGGGTGAGAGGATGGAGACCCCCAGAGGACAAGAGCTGGTGCGGGGACCCCCGGATCAGGGCCAAGCCTCCCAGCAGCCTTCCCCTGCTTGCCCTCCCACTGTCTTCTGGCTCCTTCCCGGGGTTCCAGTTCTTTTCCCCTTTCCCAGGTTCCTGTCGGGTTTTTATGCTGACCCAGAGAGGGCCCCGAGGACAGTACTTCCTTGTTGCTTTCTCAACCCGGCCTGGGGACAGTGGCTGGAAGCAGGCGGTCTGAGGCAAAGTCATGATGACAGGGGTGGCCATTCCCCACGCCAAGCACGGTGAGCCGCTGGCTGCTTCCACCCCAAAAGCCAGGCCCCCTCCCCCGCTCGCATACTCATTCACCTGTCTACGCCTAGCCTGGCACCAGCCTCCCGGCCGCTCCCCTACCCCTCGCACCGGCCTAGGGCCCTGACAGCCCTCCTCCCGCGCACAGCCGGCCACTCCGGGGGCTCGTACGGTGGACACGCCCTGCGACACACGCGCCAGAAGGAGGGGGACGTGACGCCCTCAGACCCTGGCCCGCTCGCCGGTGCCCACAACCCACTGCTCTGCTCCCAACGCCCAACAGGCGCCACTCGGCCGCCCGGACGCCCGCGGGAAAGCGAAACTCCCAGGGCGAGGGCCACAGATTCTCAACCGGCACCGCTTCTCCCGGCCAAGCACTCGGAGAAAGTTCGGGGCGCCGCCCCAGCCCTGGCCCCGTTCCCGCCGGCCCGCGCCGGCCCCCGACTCCCGCCGGCCCCGGCCCCCCGGCTTGCCTGGCCGCTCCGACGGTGCGCTGCCGGCCTCGCTCCCGGTCTCCCTCCAGGCGCAGAGAGTCCGGCACGGAGCGCACGGCCCGGGCCTGAGCTGGGCGGGCCTGGGATGGGCTGGGCTGGGGCTCCGCGCCCCGCCCCGTCGCGCCGGCTCCCCGTGGGGCGGGGCCTCGGGACGCCGCCAGGGGGCGCTGGGAGCCGCCCGGGGTCCCGCCCGCGTCCGCCCGCTCCGCGCGCGCCTCCCGAGGCCCCGACGACCGTCTAGGGTTCTCTCGGATATAAAGGCAATACGCGATCACTGATGGGAACAGAAAACACAGACACACGGGGGGGAAAATCTGTTCTCTCCACGCCTCCCGACTTCCTGCGGAAAGCGCTTGTGTTTGTGCTTCTCTGCCTTCCATGTCCGTGTATTTTACTTATCTTTCCAGAGTGGGGCGTATTGTATGATGTTTTATCTATTGCTCTTATTTTACTTAACATTTTATCATGAACATTTTTCTTGTCACTAGCTAATTCTTCAGAAGCATAATTTTAATGCCGCAAAGTATTCTATCACATAGCTATGCTGATTTATTCAACCAATTTCCTACTGGAAGACACTTAAATTGGTTCCCATTTCTCATTATTAGACATAAATCCGTGGTGAACATCCTTGACACTTCTCTTCTTTTAAACCAAACGCACTTCACAGGTTTGAAACTTCAAACGTCCAGACGTAAAGACGGGACTTGGAATCTCTCTGTCCCTGGGAACTAGGACGTTTCCTGCTTGAAGTTAGTTCAACCAGGAAAGCAGGTGTTTTAGACTCAGAAATCCTGACCTGGGATGTAGGTTACTAGTACTCGCGGGCCTGTCATCTCAGCCCTCCCAGCCACTAAGGCAAGGATGCCCTCCTAGTGCCATTTTACAGACCAGGAAACGGGTTCTGGGAATTTTTGAAACATTGCCCGAGTTTGTATAGTTGCAAAGTCCATGTTTTTTCCATTACGCCAAAGCTGCCAGTCGATGAACAGCTTAATTTCAGGTGCTTATCTAGTGCTAACAGCTACAAGTCAACATTACCACTGGATGTCTTACATAGCCTCTAGGGCTCTAACTTCTTGAATGGCAGGGGTGGGACCCCGTAGACTTGACGAAACACAGCTGGAAGCCCTCCTGATTCCAGACCCATCACTAGGCACTTTTCCTTTACATGATTCTCTCTGGTGGCCCAGTCTAGCTTTGTCACAGAGCAAGACTTGGGAAGGAGGGGCCCATGGACTTACCTGGAAGCTCATAAGTGAAAGCATTGTGCCTACCAGTAAGCATAGTAAGCAAAATTACCACTCAGATTATATATTTCAAACCAATTAAAATAGAGATTTTTTTTTAATTGCCTCCCCCACACACAGTTCGTATGTTTATTCATATGGATATAATTCAAGTAGGAGTTACTCAGGGGGACTTGTGGACATTTTGGCAGGCTAGCCCCCTTCTCCCCCAGCCACCCCAGCTCTCAATGTGAATTCAGATCTTAGGAGCCATGAACCTCATTTTAGGAAGTCCCCTCCCAACGCGTGAGCTTACCAGCAAAAGCTCACAGGAGCAAGTTCTCTGATAGCAGAATAGAGCCCTGGTGAAATGTAAAGCTCCACAGAATCTGGCCAGATCTCCGGGCACCTCTTCATGTCCTCTACACTTGGGCCTGTTCTCCAGAAAGCACCCTCCACTTTCTGGAACTGCCAGAACAGTCTCCAGGGAGATTTGTTTTCCCAGCCAGCAATCACATCCGCCTCATGGGAAAGGGGAATGTAGAGACAAGCCTTGCTGCCTGCTTTCTCCGTGCCCATTTTCTGATCATGGAATCAAGATTATAATCCTACAAGAATCTGAAACGAAGCACCTGGCCCAGGGCACACCATGGGCATTCAGTGAATGATGTCTCCTTCTCTTGACCCCCTTTTATCCCTGGATAGAAGGGATAAAGGCCTTATTTATAAGACTCTCAGCAGATTACTAACTAAGCCCCTGCTGTCTGTCAAGCAGACAGGAATTTCTGGTTCTGGAGATGACAAAACTGAAGGACGCGCAGCCCAGCCCCTGTCCTCAAGAAACTCACAGTCTAGGGGAGATGGTAAAAGACCACATCATTTTCATTTTGACAGTTTGGCAAGTGCTGGGATGAAGAAGTGTTCACTTGGGGACAGCATCTTAAGCAAGGGGTTTAGGGCCCCTACATCCCAGCAATCTAGGATTGAGCAGGTGGAGTGGGGTGGGAGTGCTAAGAAATTGGGCCGGGGCGGGGGTGCGCCTGGGTGACTCAGTCGGTTAAGCATCGGACTCTTGATCTCAGCTCAGGTCTTGATCTCAGGGTCACGAGTTAAGCCCCTTGTTGGGCTCCATGCTGGGCATGGAGCCTAATAAAAAAAAAAAAAAAAAAAAAACAGGACTGAGCAAGGAGACAGGGGGTCAGAACTGAGATTTCACCTCTGGGGCAATGGGAGGCATGTGGCTGTCAACAGCCATCTAGAGGAAAATGAGGAAGGGCATGGGAGGCTTGATGGTGCCCCTGGAGTAGGGGGACCAGCTTCAACAAATAAAGAGGCAGAATGACCAGGTATCTTTGAACTTCAGACAAACAACAAATAATTTTTTGCGTAAATGTGTGTCATTGTCCCATATAGTATTTGGGAACACTTAGACTAAAAAGTGTGCATTGCTTATCCGAAATGCACATTTACCTGGGCGTCTTGTGTTCTTCTAGCAACCCTGCCCCAGGAGGAAAGTCAAATCAAGTTCAGTCAAATCAGGCAACAGGAGGCAGAGTAGAAGGAAGGAAAGGAATCAGGCTGTTTGTTTTAGGGACGGGGCAGCCGGAGCTTAGTGATTGGAGAGGGGAGGTTGGCAGGATGGGGGTGGGGTGGGGTGGGCCTGGAGTGGTTTCCCTGGAGCCCAGGTGGAACCAGAAGGAAGTGGGTCGGGAAGGCTCAGCTTTCTCTGCAGCCAGCCCCAGGGCTTCAATAATCTGTCCTATACATTCCTCCTGCCCTGTGCCTGATCACTTAGAGCTTATGCGTTACTCCACCCGAGAACGGTCTTTTCGTTTATCACTCACTTTCTCCAAAAAGCTCCCTTTTGTTTTTCAGAGGTAAATATGGGGGTAAACATGCCTCTTTCTCGCCGTTGAAGGGCAAGGACAAAGTCTCATTCGCCCCTAGCCTCAGACAGCCCTGCCCCATCATCTGTTGAATTAAAGGGACTCTAATTTTTTTTTAAAGATTTTATGTATTTATTTGAGAGAGAGAATGAGAGGCAGAGAGCACGAGAGGGAAGAGGGTCAGAGGGAGAAGCGGACCCCCCGCTGAGCAGGGAGCCCGATGCGGGACTCGATCCCGGGACTCCAGGATCATGACCTGAGCCCAAGGCAGTTGCCTAACCACCTGAGCCACCCAGGCGCCCGCATTAAAGGGACTCTAATGCACCAAGCTGGGGTGGGGGAGGGCATTAGAGCTCTTTCCCCTGAAAATTAGTCTTATTATCTATAAACAGTGCTCAGCACTTTCATGAAGAAATCGGGAGAAGAAAGAATAGTGGATTTGAATGTGCCAGAAACGAGAATTTTGTCCTAGCTTTGCCCCTGAATGGCTGTGAGGCCTGGGGCCCGTGTCTTTACTTATAAATGAGTCTAATCATACTGTTCCTTCCTCCTCCTACACTTTTGAAGCCTCAGATGAAGTCAGCTACGTGAAAAGCACTGAAAAAGGCATGCACGTGGGGCTGTTGTTAGTGATCTTGCCAGCGAGGTAGAAGTGGAAACAGGTTAGGTGAGAGAGCTCCCCCTTCCCTAGATGTGTCACCTTGTGACAGAGGCCGGGCCACGGAGCCCGCGTGGCATGCACCGCACCACGGCCACGGTGCGCGGCAATGCCTTCCAGTCATCCCTGACCATCAGAATCGCCCCAAGGGCTTGGGAAACCATGGCCATTCCTTGGGAGATACCTCTTTCTAGAATCAGAAATGTGAATCAGAATCTTCAGGGGAGGCTGAAAGAAACGCCCCCTGGTGAATCCGATTCTCAGCCAGCTTTGGCGCTAGACAGACCTGGGCTCTGTTCAAATCGCGTTAGTGACGCCAGGCCTATTACTTAACTTCTCGGAGCCTTGTATCTATAATACAGGGTGTAAGGTTTCAAAATAGCAGCTTCCAAGGGCTTGGGGCCTAGCAAAAATTGTCAACTGTAATGGCTGGCGGTGAGAGAGAAACGCAGTGACTCAGTGATGAGCACACACCTCAGTTTAGCCAGCAGTGTGATTGCCTTTGGAAGACCAAACAGGACCAGAATAAATGAATTTGCGGTAGCTAAGGTGTGCCCTCTCGCCCTGCCCACTGCTGCCCGTGGACCTTGGCCTCCTTGGTCACCCTGACCTGCCGGGAGATTCCCAGCTTCTGCAGACTTCTCCTGCGTGAGAAGGCCTTCCTTGGATCTTACCTGCATTTGTCTAAACACCACACTCTGCAAAGCCAACAGCCATTTCCTCTTCCCTCAGTCCCAGCCCAAGATAATAGCTGCCCTAAGGTCTCTCTTGCCAGTAACTGTGCCCCCTCTGTAATCGCAGGGTCAAGCGCCCACACTCTGATCACCATTTATCTCCCCAGCTCAACAACCCCAACAGCAACAACTCTGTGAACACACCAGGGTTGACAGCTTCTGCGTCTTATCTCCTTTTCCCTGTCCCTCCCCGTTTCACTTCCCTCCTTAACTGGCTTCCATCCCCTGTGGGAATCCCTGCACTCCTTTGCCCCACTGCCTGGTGGGGCTCAGAACGATGCCCGCACACAGCTGAAAGGCAGAAGGAAAACATGCAAGGTGCTGACAGATCTCCCTGAGTTCATCAAGACTTGGGTTTTTCTCGGCATTCATCTTGACCTTCCCGCCCTAGATAATTACTCCACACTTCCATCAATCTCTTCAAAGCTCCAACCCCTTCACAGCCTCACTCTCAGGCTTGGACTTCCTTCCCGTGTCACTGAGCGAACAAAAGCTGTCAGAGAACCGCAGCCTGGATCGCCACTGAGCTCTCTCGAACCTCAGTGTGCCTAACAGATGACGTGGGGATCTTGTCTAAATGCAGATTTTGCTTCC